CCACTCATTTTTCGTGTTCAGATCTCTGTATTTGCCAAAGGGAAAGTGTTGAATTGGGAGGGGAGCTACTCCATGAAAGCTCTTGTGTTTCACACGGTAGCTCACAGTCATTTTGAAGAAAGAGGACCACAGCACAGGAGAAATAGTTAAAGAAGGACAAGCATGGGACATTTGTGTTCAGGTTTAGAGGTTGAAATGAAATTAAGTGTAAATGTATTCTAAGCAGTGAAATGGAATTTGCTTACTAATCTGGGTTGCATCTCCTTTTTTCCCCTTCTTACGACTAAACTAGCAGTACCAGTAACTGTGCCTGCGTCACCTCTTCCTCTCTTTCCTGCTTGCAGAGCAATCCTGCCATGCTTGTGCAGGAGAGTTTCCCAGGAGGCTTGCCTGAAGCAGGAGGAAATTGAGGTCAAGGCACCAAAAAAGGATGAGAAACCTGGGAATTGGGAAAAAGGCAACAGTGACTTGATATCCAGGAGAAAAGTGCCTGCCCTAGGATAAAACGCTTCTCTTCCCCTCTTCCCTCCCAAAAGACATTAGGGCTTACTTCTGCATTTCAGAGGGAATTTGGGCTGAGTAAGGAACCTTGGCGTAGGTGGAGGGAGGGAAATGTTTGGTGTCAGCTGAGAAAAATCCGCTTTTATCAGGTAATTCTGTCTTCTTCCCAGCTTACTCTATCTGTCACTTCCCTGGCCCTTTCCTTTTCATTGGAGCCCTGGCTCCAGAAGCAACCTGCCTTAATCTACACCTTGCTACTGCTCTTGAGCCTGTGAACACAGTTCCAGCTAAAGAGTAGCCAGACAATCTGCCTCTCCAGCTATCAAATTCACTTGTTCCCAGTGGTTTCTAACTTGTCTTCCTCATCAGGAGGAAAAAAAATAGCAACTTTTGATAAGAATACAAATATGTGATTTTGTCTTCAGAATGACATGCAACATAATTTCTTATCTATTGATTTAAATAATTCAGCATTTTAAAAGGAACAAATCAACTCAATTAGTTTAGGGGATACTTAAATGTTGAGAACAACTTTATATCAATTAAAATTAGTGATAATTCATTTATGGAGAAACTAATATAATTAATTAGGTGGTAGCTGTGTATCTCTTGTATAGTACATACATGGCTGTGGGTATAGCGCTTTTAAACATCTGCTCAATAGTCTGTTATGATAGCACAAGAATGCTTTTACGTGAGAGTAATAGAGTAGCAGATGCTTCCTGATGACAACTTCTCAATTTGTTTAGGAAACAGTCAGTGTGTCCTGGATTTGCAGTTTTAACTTGAAGCATGGCAGCCATGTAAGCAAATTGCAATGCAGAAACAAAAAACTGAGAAATTAAATTCTTTTCATCATTTTTAAGGGTCGCAATTTAGTCAAAACCTTCATTGTTAACATTTTAATAAATTGTTTTCTTTAGGCATGTTTATTTTATCTTAGCAAGGATCTAGACAAAATTATGATTTTGTTAGCAAACCCTGTTGTTTGATTGTACTTACAGTTTATGAATCTTTGGAAGCGGTTGGGCAATCCTCCCATGCTAAAATTGATTTCACTATTTTCTATTCAAACTAAAATATAGTATTAGCTTAAAAGATAGAACGATAGTATACATAAAAAGGGAAAGTAGAATAATTGCATTCAAAATATTTAAAGAGGCTATCACATGACATTTGTGACAAGAATAAAATTCTGTGACTTTTTTGAAATTTCTATCTGCTTTTTGTATTTATGGCTTTATCAGTAATTTTATGGAAAGGAAGGCTGTTTGGTTGAAGAGCAGAAAATAAACCTTGCCTTTTGGGTTGTTGTAATACTCTCTCAGGCTCCATGGCTTTATTCAGCCATACATAGATTTTTAGGTATTCCAAAGATTATCCTAAAATGACTGTACTCATTTTAGTCATCTCATCAGCAAAGTTCATCTCATCAGCTAGAGAGATACCATCAAAACTTTTAGGCTGCAAAATGTATTTTCTCTACATAAATTCTATGGTGTCATACTAACAGAGATTGTGAAAGTACAGGATTACACATCGATGCTATATCTTTTTATGTAAGGAGTCTTTCCACTGCTGCTTACCAAAAGGCAAAAGGATTAGAAATGGCTTTAGGAAGGATTCAAGTATCTGTCTGTGTATGCAAATCACAAATACAGTGCACCCACTTGTCACTAGAAGTGCAGCAGAAAAAAAAAGATCTGATTATCAGGAACTATTTTGAATAAGCATAGAAAATTCATAGTAGACTGAAGTCCATCTTGTTACAGAGCAGAATAGTGTGACTTTCAAATCTTCTTTGAGCTTTGCATTCAGCTGAATGCTTGATTTCAGACTCTGCCTGAACTAGCACTCAGAGAAAAAGAACCACAGGATAATGCCAAAAGAATGTGTCCACAAATAGTCTGCTCTCCATAACAGTAGTTTGTTCAGTGTAAAGCTGCGTCTTTCCCCGTCCGCTGCATTTCTTGCTATCGAACTGTACAGATCTTTGGGAAAGGCACTTCTGGATAAAACCACCCTTTCTCTGGAAATAATAGGATGTTTTGGGAAGTAGCTCACTGTCTAACGTCCTTCTGGTAATGGCAGGAATTCTCAAGAGAGTTTCCTCACCGGCCATCTCAAGGAGCAGCGAAATTAGAAAGACTGACTGGCTCCTTTGCTTTCCTTTTCCTAATCCAGAAAATGAAGGTAGAATTTGCTTACAGCTGCAATCCTTGCTAAACCAGCAAGCTGAATTCTTAATGACAGAGTTGTTCGTAGCTTAATTTATGACTTTCTGAGATAGTGGGGTATTTATAAAGCATGTTTTCCCTAAGGGTATACAGCTTTGAGTAAAATTATGTATTTTCCGAAGTATTAGGAAGTAAAAAAAGAATATGACTTTTTTCATTTAGTCTGAAATCATCATAAATTGGGTATTAATTTATATTGTTACAGATTAGAGTCATTCTTACTGGGCAGGGTGAGCTAGTGAATAGGCAATAGGCAAGGCCATAATATCTGATGAAACATTCGTGTCTGTACCACGTGGTGATTTTGTTTCAAGGAGGCTGGTTGAAATTTTAATCTAGGTTGAGTTCTGAAGATGGAGTCCTTCCCTTCCCCATCCCTACAAACTTGAAAGCCACGTTCTGGGGTTTTTTTTCATTTCTTTTACCACCTTCTTAAGTAATTAAGTAATCTGCTGCTGTTCCTTCCTTTACTATGCTCCTCACTGAAGCAATGAAAAAGTATCCAGTTTAAAGCAAGTTCGGTTTACTAAAGAGAAGAAATAGTATTCTGTTTTCCTCAAGAGACTTTTAAAATAGTATTAGCCCTATATTTCATATCTGATCATAGGGACTGACATGTGGGAAGAGGAAAAGAATTTGCTTTCTGAGTCTGCTACACATTTTTATGGGAGCTAGGTAGAGTATACAGAACTTTACCTGGCCTGTGAAGTCAGATACAGCAATCACCGTTGCCCCTTCTGGCATGTAGTCTTTAATATCCCTCCACACACAGTTTTTAAAGGTAGGTTAACACAGAGAGGATTTTCTTTAATGTTCCATTTCAGTGCTTTAGATATCTGTTTCTTGATAAGCTAAAATCAAGAATTCCTGTAGCTGTCCAGAATTTCCCAGAATACTTCTGTTCTTTGAGTACCTGTGATTTTCTCATTTAAGGTCTAAAATTGTATTTACAATACCTAGGTCTGTAGCTTCCCAGGATCTGGGCTCTCTGTTGATGATCTTCTCTCCATGTGCCTCAGCAGCATCTGGTTGTCTAATATGCTTACTTTGGATGAAATCACTTTTACTTGGGCTATCAAAAAAGTTTAAAGTATTCTGTTTGTGATTACTGTTATAATTTATCAGTTCTTGTATCTCTTCATAGAATGATTCATGGCTGAGGAGTAAGTAAGGTGAGTTGAGGATGTGAGATAAAAATACAAAATAAATTTCTTTAGTGTTAAACCAACATGACGTTGAAAGGGTGTTGGTTTTTCTTTTCTGTTCAACCTTTTTCATTTTGCTTGGACAGGGAATAGTGAGCCAATATTCACAGTTGGTTGGCAAAAGCGAACTTGTGAAATGCACACCCAACCTGTGGGGCATTATGGTTGCTTACTTCATGCATGTAATTCTGGGGGTTTGAGAACCGAACAAGTTCACGCCCATAGTGTCGTCTTGGAAAGTTTGTTCTAAAATATTTAATCTTAATAGGTTTATTAAGTTTATAGCTCAATTTTCAGAGATGTTGAGTATCAACAGCTTCTAGAAAAGACAAAACAACAGAGTGCTTAGCACTATTTGAATATTCATTCAAAACTAATAAATTTCTAAAGATGCTGAGAGATTTACGTTGTTACTGGGCTGTATCTCAATGCTCTGATAAAGTTCCACCTCTTACAGTTTATTTCAAATCTACAGTAAACCTTGCTTACTTTACATGTGAAACATACAATAAGAGGAGAAAATTATCTCACCTTGAGAAATGTTATTAGCAAAAGCAACATTTTCCAAAAAGCTTTTAAAAACAGAGGAATTTTTGAGGATACAGTTGATCTATACTTTGGCAAGCAAAAACAAGTTATTTAAGGATATGCTTTTTAAATGGTCTATACTAAAGGTAATGAGGAGAGATGCAGCTGTAGCCACCTTATCGTACAAGTATTCTACCATAAAATGTTTAGAGAGATTTCTGTCTTTTTCTTCTGTCTACAAAAGCAACCTGCGGTTAGAAAGACCTCAGTTCTGCAAATTCTTGTACACAGTTCATAGTTTATATAGATAAGTTTGCAAGAAGTCATTGCAGATTTTGGACTTCAGTGTTTTACTTGCTAGTATTAAGAAATGTCTTCAGGAATTCAAATGAGTAGTGCTATGAAAGGGATGATCCCTATTATGTCTGCTCTTTATGTTTATTAAATTAATTACAGTAGTGGTAATTAATTTCCCCTTGCTGCAAATACACAAGTTGATGGATGATTTTGTTCATGCTTGTTGTTTTAGGAATCTTTGGATGATTCTCAAGTAGATGGAGTTTGTGCAGCAGCAGAAGTGATTCGCTATGAGTATCATGTCTTGTACTCCAGCAGCTACCAAGTACCTGTGCTTTATTTTAGGGCATGCTTTTTAGGTAAGACCAGTTTTCTGTTAGACAAAGAGAAGATGAAAAATATGCAGGATTTAGTAGATGTTAAAAACACAGATTTTGTATTGAACTAGGGAACAAAGTAATGGTCATATGTAATAAGAAAATAAGAGATGAGACTGTTCACCAGTAAATTTTCTAATACTCCAGACACTGAGCTTCAGGACCTTGGAGTAGATGATATCATCTCAGCCTGAAGGAGGCTGATCTTTGGCTCCTGGCATCTTGCCTGTGGTTGACTAAAACTGCTGGTCATTTTTCTTGTTCTTTTCTTCAAATGAATACAAAAAGCCTTAAAGCTGCAGGTCTGAATTTGGCTATGAAATAAGTGGGCATAATTACAGTGGCTTCAGCAGAATTGTATCTGTTAATGTGAAACCTGAATTTGAGCTGCAAAGCTAGGGTCTAAATGTACGTTTAAAACTGTATGCTGTTTCCTACTTAAATTTGCTGCTTGAAAAACCCCACCAATATGGTGTTGTTTTTAGTCATTTTCTATGTATTAAAACTGGTTCTTGAAATACAGACTGATTTTTTTTCCTCCCTAATATGTACATCTTGCTACTCATTACGGAATTGCTACAGCCACTGTGATTTCACTCACCATCCTGTCAGGAAGGAAGGAGGAACATACAGCCGCCCTCCAAGGCCACTGTTAGTGTCACTTATTTAATCAGCAAACATAGAGTGATCACACTGCAGCACTGTCTGTGCTCTGTTCCTCTCTGCCCAAAGACTGTGTATCTAGGGCTGGGGGATTGAAATCTTCAAGTCTTTTCATTCAGTCTCCTGCATGGTAGCATCAGCATCTTTTGTGTTTTGAATAATCTCCTAACTTTATCTAGATGAAGATGTCTGAATGTTGCCAGTGATATCTTTTTCTTTTTAATTAAAAAGTGGCTTAAGCTGCTTTGAATGTGTTTGGTAGATTTAATCACTCTCTGCCTTATATTGTTTAATGGTTTCTAATTTTGCAGTGTTAGCATTTTAAAAGGCACTTTAGATTTAAAATTGAAGAACAAATTCTCATAGACTCCCTGGTGAAAAGATTTTAGTCTGAGGTGCAGTTTCAGGGACTGGATAATTTGGGGTAGATTTTCAGACTGGGACATGGGGAATTGGGGATGTTGCTCTGCCTTTACCACCAACAGAACATTCATTTGCACACATCCGGCTGTAAATTTATTCCTGGAATTATTACAGGCATTTACAAATATGTGCAATATTTTGCATTTAAACTTATTGTGCAGACAGAAGGATAGAGAAAGTTTTGCTGTAGGAGGCAGATTAACCTATTTGTGGTACTGAAAAATGTCTTCGTCTTGGGTTTAGCTGAATTAACAGTACACTGTCTCTACACAAGGGGATGGAGATGCTGCAGGTAGAGGAAATAGGACACGATTTCTACTGTACTGTACTTTCATATAATTAGTATTCACCATAAGCAGTTAATCACCAGAGAAGAGCTCCCAGAGACAAAACAAGTTGTTTAGCTTGTCAGCATCAGGGAATCGGAGGTGTTGAAACATGACTCCTTATAGCTGGAAGTGGATATTACAGAAGCTAGTGGATGATCTAATGCACAATCTTAATATGTGCCAACAGCTCCCCTCACAGTACAAAACTGTAATTGTTCCTACAAGTATAATTACATTTTAAAACATTTCTTGGGAACCTTTCAAAATGGAAAACAAGGATTTTTTTGTTTTAATTCCCATAATCACCTGGGTCCTCTTTAACATTTAATATTCTCTGACCCTTTAAGGGAGAAGGATACAAAACGCTGGCAGTAAGTACTTTTCCAAGAAGGTGTTCAGCTAGTATTCTTTCATTGTAATTCTGCATAGTTTACTTTTGCAAATGAAAAATTCTATCATCACTGCAAATTATTTACCTAGTGTCTGTACAGTGCTATTTGAAGATCCCAACATGAGGTTTTCAGGGATATACAGGTCATGGTCACTCGCAATCACTTGAGACATTTAGGCAAAGAACCTTTTGTCTTGCCTTGGATCTAATATGAAGAAGAGTGGGTAATGCCCTGAGATTTTTGTCTTTTCTTTAGAAAGCTAATAGTCTTCCTGTGATAACCCCTTCACCTGTTTCTTGGACATCTAGTAATATTCATGGCATCCGTTATCTGAAATAGATGGGGGAAAATCTTCCTCTGAGACCTACATCAGTTTCACAATCTAAATTCCTACTATTGTTTATAGCTTAAGTTAACAGAATGGGTTATTTCCAACCCTCTTATAAGCTGTTTGTGGTTTCCCTTGAATCCTGTTCATATTGCTCCTCATGCTAATTAAGAGTGAGTTGTGAGAGGTGAAGGTGAGCTATAACCCTTCCCGTTTTTCCACAGCCCTGCTCTGTCATATCTTCCCCAGCAGCAGGGCACAGAGTTTGAATTCTAAACTCTACTTCCTCTCTGGCTCTACATTAAGTGGCCACTACGCCTCGAGGCCAGCCTAGGAAATAATAATTCTTCTGTTCAACCTGACTAAATAGTTTTGCATGTTTTGCAGTATTCACTTCCTCACTTTGTATGTTATAATAGCAACTGGTGCCAGCCTGTCCAAATCTGTGGTCTTCCAAATAGACTCTTTAAAAACTGTTCTAGAACAATTAAAACCTTCCTTTCTCGCATGGTATTTGAGTCCAGTTTTCACAGACTACTTTGTATCTGGCAGTCTCTCCTAGAAAAAAGGCTTCCAAAATAATTGCTGTGGAGTTTTTCCTGTGATCCACTGCTGCATCAGCATGATTGGCATCTTTAGAAGCCTGCGTCAGTGAGGACATAAAGGTTTCCCTCCTCTCTGCTAATGATTGTGCTCAAACATTACAGATCAGTCCTTCCTGCAAATAGACGGTTGTATTGTGTCCGTATCCCTACTTCTTTCTAACTTGGATGAAATAACTTCTTTTCTGGAATTCATCTTTAAACTTCTTTTTTTTTTTCAGAGGAAGTTTGATATGTAAGGTAGTGCAGGGAAAAGGTTTGAAATTTGAATTGCAATAGAACTAAAACATTTCAAATGCCATTTAAACTTTTTGGTAGTCTCTGGGGAGTGATTTATAAGGAAGGCCTTGTTCTGTGCATGGAAAAATACTTTCAGCTAAAATAATGATTAAATATGATGCCTCTGTCTGAAAAAATATCTGGGAACATTAGGATACAAGAAGATATTTTTAGAGCACATATATATGCACACATGTAAAAGACTTTTTTCAGTAACTCATGATACTGTTCATGAGCATATATTCTTCAGGGGGAGCTTACTGTAGACCCACTCAGTTAGGAGCTCAAGACAGTGGTCTTCAGTACCTCAGAGTCTCAGAGCAGGTCTGTCTTCTCCAAAGTCAGTCTCATGCTGCCTTGCCTTTCAGTAATGGGAGACCTTCTTTCTGTCTCTGGCTTCTGGGATTACCAAATAGGTAGCTGAAGAAATGCATGAACTCCCCTCTCCCCCCCCCACTGAGATCTGATGTCAGCAATTAGCCTTCTTAGAGACAGATGGTATAGGCAATTAGCCTTCCCCTTAGATGCTGGCATCAGCCAGATGGGCTGGGCTAGGTCCAGTAAGCTTTCTTTAATCAGTGGAGTAATTTTCCCCTTTTCTTAGCCTTTAAGATGTCAAGAAACTTTGGTCTTTTCTGAACCGTTATCAACTTAAAGCCATCCATTCCAGCACCCCTTGCACTGACAGGCAGCTGGCAGCAACGCAACTATAGGTGGGCATGGGCATCCTTCAGGAAGCACCCTGCGTGTCACGAAAAGAGTAGTTTAACTAACACGTCTTCCTCTTTTCCCTA